TGTGCAGCAGCGTGCGCTGTGCATGGATGTGCGAGCCTCCTCCCCCAGAGGTGCAGAGCTACACCGACGTGAGCAGAGGGTTTGGGGCTGGCTCTCCTGCGTGCTAGCAAGACGGAAAGGAAGGAGCTGCAGCACGGAAGGGCTTTGCCTTCCCATTTTCCTCTCTGCCTCACTGCAGGGCTGAATTTCACATTGAGTTGCCGTCTCTTGGACAAGATTATTTCTTCCTGGCTTCCTCTGGATCTGATCCTCAGAGTGCCTGAGCATCGTGCTACCTCCTGCTGCATCTGACGAAAAATCAGCAGTAGCCGCAGCGGGCCGCCCCTGAGGCCAGCAGGAAGGCACGATGCTCAGCGCTCCTTGGGAGCACAGCCTTGGTGTGTCGCCCATGTGCTGATGGAGCCCAGGGACATAGGAGGGGGGCTGAAGCAAAGAAGACATTAGCGCACAAGTGACATATCTCAATATAATTTCTAAAACTCTATTAATTGAACAGATAAAATACCTCTGGTCTATTTTTGTTATTTTGTTACAAAATATTAGCGATTTGGACTCTTTGCTAGGTGTGACCACACCACTTTTCCCAAAGGAAGCTTTTTTTGGTGATATTTACAGCAGGAAACAGGTACAGACAGACAGGTGCTTTCAAAAGCCTACACACAGGTAATACTTCTGTTGTTAGGTTTTTTTTAAAAAGACACATTCAGATGGGGTTGTGACTAGTGTTGAAGAGCTGGGTGACTTCAAAGCTGCTGTCCCAGGCGTGGCTGTGAAAGAGCGGGCAGGACAAGGACAGCTCTAGCTCACGAAACACTGCTGGCAGTCCCTGGAGCCTACACTAGCACGGTGAGGCAGCTGCTGGAGTGGGAGATGGAGGAGCTTGCTCAGCAACTTGCATTTCAAAGCAGAGATTCTGCCAAGCAGCAGCTTCCTTGATTTAGGACTCAGATTTGTTTTAGAGACCTCACAAACACGTGCAGATAGTTACCTTCTGAAAAACATGTAACAAAACAAACTCTTACAGCTCAGAGGCCCTCAAATACTTCCAAATCTGGTGGTACCTTTTTGTGAAGAAGTTTGAGTATTGATGAAATTCTGGTTGTGGACCATACCCACGCCTTTCATCTACGGGGAGGAGAGAAAATGTGAACAGTGGCACGCTTTGAAGGTCTTGCAGGAAGCACTAAGTGTTGCTACCACAGTGGCCCAGACTACGGCATTAAAAGTACCACAGCAGCTGAAAAACACTGCAGTCAACCTAAATTGTTTGCACTAAGCTTGACTCTCCTGTCCCATTTTTCCATTCCTGTGCTACTGGTGTCAACAGATTAGTTTCACTGGACCTGCACTAGCATGAGCAAGAGAATCCAGACAGCGCCTGACGCTTTGTGTAATGCAGCTCTGTAGACCTCACTAACACTTTGTTCTTTTCCACCGTCCAGTAGAGCCACCGTCTTGTTTGGCCACTGAGTACCTGCTGCTCACTGCGGAATACTTTTTACTGGGTTTCTCTTTTCTTTCTCCCCCACCCTCCAGCCCGCCCTCCTTTTTTAATATAGAAGGATAGGAATTTGGCAGCAAAAAGCCACTGGTTCATTTGGGTTGATCTAATCCCTGCAGCAGCTTCCTGCCTGATCCCTCCACCTGAAAGATTGTGCTAGGTTCATGATCAGAATCACTGCTGTCAAGAGCTGGTGATTTTTCTTTGGCCTGGTCCCTCTGGGCGAGCTGCGGTATACATTTTGTCCTTCATTAGGTTGTTGCTGACATGCTCCTTCTAGCCTGCACCCTGTCAACGATCAGTCTGTGTGCAAGAGTGTCTATTCACACTACTACTGCTACACTGAGCCTGTGTGTCTTGCTTGTGTGTGGGAGGGCTGTGGGAGCAGACAATACAATAGATCAGATGAGGCGCAGACATGCTTTAAAGTGCTTGTCATCCTTCGAGACCAACCTTCAAAGGAAAAAAAAAATCCGTATTTTGAAGTGAAGTCCGAAGGGCTCAGCTACACAGTAGAAATCAGAGCAACCTGTTCCATGACAACCTGGAATACAGCGGTTTGGTGTCTCTCCAGCTAAACCTGACAGAAGATGTTGTAGCCAGCAGGCTAGAAGATAGCAGGGGTTAGCTACGTCTGCTTCTCCGTCCAAAGCTCAAGGCCAGCAGTATCCTTTTTGCAAGGTCAGGAGAAAGCAGCCAACTCGCCCTGAGAGACTGCTGTGCCTCAGGTACCTTGGCACTTCAGTTAACTCACTTCCATCCTTCATCCAGCAAGAAGAAGGGAGTCTCATGGAAGCTTCCCTATTTCTTCTTTACATTCTTGTAGCTCTCCCAATCAATTATTAAAGCAGCAAACCTCTCTTGTAGGAACTTCATAGACATTGTTATAAATATTTTATCTAAAAAAATTATTTCATCAAGTACCTTAAGGTTTTTGTTGTTGTCACTTCGTGTTAAATGTCAAGTAAAATCTAATTTATTTATTTTAACACACACAGAGATCTTCAGTGGCTCACTGCACTCTGGGAAAAAAACAAACAAACAAATATTGCCATTCCTCTCAGACAGCAGTAACCGCTGAGAAAGGAGGGCAGTGTCAGTGCCTCCTGGATACCACCCCTTTCACCGCAACAGCGAATAAAAATAAAATGTCAGCCACATGCTATGTTGACTGGACAATGGCAGAAGCCACATGTATGCTTTCCCAGGAAGCTACAGGCAGGTCGGATGAGATCCCGGCTGCCGTGAGGTGGTGGGGTGTCACCTTGGAGGGAGCCAGAAGCAGATCAGGCCAGATGTGCCCAACAGTTGTCTTAAGGGTGAGGGGCTGAGCCCTGGCTGGGGGTGAGGACCTTTCCCTGGGCCCAGTTTTGGGATGTGGAGCATCCTCACTGCCCTGGGGGGCTGGCTAGAAGAAAGCTTCTCTGGTCTGGAGGGAGACTGGACTTCTGTTTAGGGTTTTCTTACAATCTTTTCTGTCTTCTGCTTCCACAGTCCTCCCCGAGGTTGTGCTGTTGGCTCCTGGTCAGTACATCTGCTATTGCGTATAAAAGTGGCAGCCTAATGCCTGGCTCCAGACAGAAAAGCAAACAACTTAGACAGACCTGTTGGCACACCTAGGTACATGGGTCAGGCTTAGAAACAAGGGGACCTGGAAGTGAGCAGGCTTCTGCCCTGAAGTTTTTCACCCCAGCCCCTCTCTGCTTCCCTAACTCCAGCTGGGCTTATGCCCAGGTCAAATATGTGAACTTTTTCATCTGAACGCTTCAGCAGAGCCAGCAGACATCCAAAGAGCACTGCAGGGAGGCAGTCCCTGATGCACCGTGGGCTTTCTCACTGGCAATATCCCCAGAGATGAGCATACTGGCACAGTCCTGCATCTGTCTTCACTGTCCCTCTTTCCCCGACATTTTGCACATCCCCACCACTGCCAACAACTCCTGCCATTCCTCACCCAATGGCTGTGTCATCAGCACCCAGTGCTCATATCTTAGCTTCGCATGGGAAGGAAGAGCATTTCTTTCTTTCCCTCTTAAAATAAAATAAAAATAAAGGCCCTAAAAGGCATTCTGTCCTATTTTAAAATCCTAAAGTTTATCTTCTTAAGCCTTGAAGGGCGACAGAGTGAGTGAGCGAGACCAAAGCCTTTAAGCTAATTAATACCTTCTCCTCCCTACTGCTCAAAGAGATTTTTTTTTCTAAAAATACATCCATAGCCCATTTTTAATGCCGTCTTCCTTCACATCAATGTCCCCAATAAAGCAGAGGAGCTGAGCTGTCATCTCTATCTCAGGATCTTCCCCTCCCCTCACTTTGAAGCTGGGATAGGGAAGGAGAGATAAGAAGAGGCCTTCGAGTGTGCTATCTGGGCAGCTTTCCTATAGGAAGGGCAGATGGAGGCAAGAGTATAGCCAGGCAAGAGATACAGATGGGATCTCACATGGGTGGTCTCCAAAAAGCTCCTTTCCTCTAACACCAGAGGAAGAGCCCAAATGAAGGGAACATCCACCTCAGAAGGTAAACGTAACACTTGGCTTTGCTTTCAGAATATAAAAAAGCAGGTCGGCAGGAAACACAAAAACAGTGAGAAGGAGGAAAGCAGAGGTGGGTCTGTTTTATGCTAGAGAAGACAATCTTTATGTGTGTGTGTGTTGAGGTGGGAGGGCACCTCTTGGTGCCATCTCTTTGGAAAAGTACTCATCCATTCCAGAAAGAACCTTGGGCTTAATCCCTCCCTTCTGCTCCCTCAGAACTGCTTGGTGTTTCCGTTAGTAAGCATGCGCCATACATACGCTACCATACAGGTGTATTTACATGTGATGAGGTCTGCTAGGTCTCAGCAGAGATCTCTTGTACAATGCTCCAAAATAACAACAGAAAGAGTTTTGGTGTTCAGAGTGAGGCCATCTTTGCGTTGTACTGCAGCTCAGGACAGTCTCTCCTCCTCTCGAGCTCTCTTTCACTCGTGCACTCCCTTGCTTGGAACCGGCTGCTGCAAGGAGATAATATTTGAAGAGCTATGAGGAGAAAGCATGGCAAGTGGTACAAGTTTTTAGCTCCAGCTTAGCAGGCAGCAGCAGTGGTGGCAGGGGGAAACTCCACCCCCGGGAGCGCCCCAAGGTTGGTCCTTGGCACGGGTGAGTCTGTTTCTCTCCGAGGCTGGTGAAGTTTTGGGGTGGGTACAAACCTATGACCAGGTAAATGCAAGGCGAGGAAGGAGGTTGAGGAGTAGCAAACGGAAGACACAGTGCCTAGAAAGCAACAGGTCATCAAGCCTCTCGGGAACAGGGCAGCAAAGTGCTACATGGGGACGGCACGAGCACGGGAAGCCAGCTGGGCTGGCAGGGTGTGAGGATGTGTGAGCATGTAGGTTGGCAGTTTCTATAGATGGCTCCTCACAATTAGCATCATCTTGAGGGGAGACAGGGTAAGAGTTAGGTCGGTTGGCTTTTTTTTTTTTTTTCTTTTCTTCTTCTTTTACTAAAAAATAAATCACAAACTAGATCTCTGTAGGCAGAAAGGGTCCCCGGGAGGCGGTGGGGAAGGGAAGCGGGGAAGTCTGTGCTGTTTTGGTGCTGGTGGTGTGGCTACACGAGGCTGCGTGAGCCACTGGAGTACCTGCGCCTCTGAAGCAGGGAGCTAGGGGGACAATACTGGTGGGGGTGGTTGTAGGGAGGTGGTGGAGGTGGGAGGGGAGGCTGATGGACCAGCTTCATGGGGGTCCCGGGGAGCCCACTGCCCACACCACGCCAGGGGGTGGAGGTGCAAGAATCGGAGGTGACGTAGCGTGTCAGAGTCTGGTTGAGGGCCGGCTCCATTCGAGCGAGGCACGGCTTGTCCAAGACAATGACTTTGACAATCTGCTGGCACTGTACAAGTGTCCCCGCCGAGGCGGGGTGCGAGGGCACCAGTGCTGTCTCCAGCCGCTCCCGTGGCATGTTAAGACGTGTGCTGGGCTGCATTCCACTCTCGGGCCCCAGGGCGGAGTTGTGCTGGTACGTTTGAAGCCTGTTGTGAATTGACACCTAGTTTAGAAACAGCCAAAGAAGCATTAAATGTTACAAGACTTTTCCCATCTGCTACTACTGGCTGGCCTGAACCCCCGCCACCAGTCGGCCTCACATGCATTAAACCCTCCCCCCCCTCAAAAAAACAGAACAGGCAAAACCCTGACTGTACAGCCACCGCCCCCCCCCAGTGTCCCCATCGTCCCCATCTAGGCCTAAGTGCCCCTGTCCTTTCCATCATGTCAAAGGCAGCAGGGCCAGCGTTCCCAAATCAGTGCAACTTTGATTATCTAAACAGTACAGGGAACGCAAATCAACTCTAGGAGTGGAGGAGTCCATGAATTCTCATGGTAATGAACAGACCTTGGAGGTCATGCCCTTGTCCCCACCAGGAAAAAGGAGAAGGGAACCAGATAGCAAGATTTCAGATAATCGAGGTTGTACATTTCAGTAAAATGACAGTAGCTGAATCTGAGATAGAGAGAGACAGAGAGACTGAAGCCTTTCCCAGCTCCCTGCCTTTCTGAGTAGGAAGGTACACCACATGACTGGATAATCTGTTTACAAAGGAAAAAGCAGAAATCTGACATACTCTAGCAAAAGGCAGCTCCCTCTGATCCATTTGATGGTTTGTCAGTGAAAGGAAATGATTTTCAAAAAAAGAAAAAAGAAAGAAAAAATGCCCGTCTAGCTCATACAATGATAAAAGAAATTCATGATGAAATGGCAGCAGATTAGATAATCTCAAAGAAATGGAAATGCTCCTCTGCTGTCAGAGTATTACTTGGGCAGCTGAAAGGGGGAAGGGAAGCAGGAGGTCATCAGGGTCCCCACAGAGAGATGCTGATAATGGAGTCAAATAAGGGAGCTCACTGAGTCCAGTTTGAAAAGGAGGAGCTGGCCTGGACTGGAGGTCCCTAGGGGGAAAAGCGCAGCAGGAAAATGGTGCTTCCCAAATGGGGGATGAAGTTATAGTTCCTTCTCAAAAGGATATGGGCTGATTCAGACCCCAAACCAGAGCAAAGTTACTGTTTCAAAACGGAATGTCAGTCAAGTGACAAACCCTGGCTAGCAAACAAGTGCTTGCAGGTTGGCATGGCACTTCCAGCTAGTCAGGGGTACAGATGGGCAGATGGGACAGTGGGGGTGCCCTGATGAGCGCATCGGGCAGCAGCACCAGCAACAGGGAAGGAGAAGCTGTGGAGTGGCCAAGCTTCCCACCATGCTGGAACAACGATGGGCTGTCTGTCCCTGCTCAAGCACGGAGGTTGCTCAGACTCACTGCACAGCAGGACATAATAATGTGTCACTGTTTATTCAGGCAGCGGAACATCCCATAGGGAAAACTGGTTGCTGGGCCATGAAGTGCTAATGACATTAGGATACGTGGAAGCCATTCTCCACAAGGAAACACTCCTCCCAACAGAATTAGGAAATTGGCTGTGAGAGGCACCTTCCCCAGGAAGGGGGGGTCTGCAGGGAAATGGGGTGCTCTTCAGGGAAAAGAAGCAGCACCCACTCCCCACAGAGAAGCCGAACTCGTCAAGTAAATATTGTATGACAAGAGGTGAAAGAACTACCCTGGAAAAGGGCAAATTCAGGACAATGGAGATATTCCAGACAGGGAGAGAGTAGGAAGTAGTAGATAAGATTTTCAGTGTGAAGATCGCATTTTCCTGTTTCCTCACAGGCAGTGGGAGTATGGGTGTCTGTGAAGAAACAGGCAACCCACTGGATACTAGACATCCCTGCAAAGATAGATGTACACAGGACAGCCAAGCTCCCTACCTAGGACAGTGAAGCTCTAGGGAAAGTCTCTGGTATTCAATGGCCATGCTTAATCCCCTTCAAGGGGGGATGGAGAGAGAGAGCTGCAGAGATTGTGCAGGAAAGCTGGGCTGCGGGGAATTTGCATGTGATGCTGCATGGAGTTAGCATGTCAGGGAAGTCTTTAGTGGGGTTCTCAGTCTCCCCATAAGCAGTGGGGTGGGTTAGTCTACAGCGTTTGGGAGCTTGGTCCATGAGGGATGTTACAGTTATAAAAACGGATTGAAAATGCTTTGAAGTTTAGTTTGGATTTGAAAGTTGTATTACCCGTCCTAGCAGTAACTTTTAATTGTATCTCTGGAAATTGGTAAAATTGTCAGTCTGGCTGGGGAGGCATTGATTAAAACCTGAGAAAAGAAACAACAGAGAATGTGAGAAGAGCTGAAGTGAGAGAGAATTACTTACCTCAGCTGCTCTGCACTCTACTTACCTCCACTGTGCTGTCCGAGACCTTCTCCCCCAAATCCTTCTTGCCTTTGAAATAAAACAAAAGATCTCACACCTGAGGTCTGTACCTCTAGTCAAGAGCTGGCACTCAGACTGTGGACTGGAAAGCTAAGGGGAGAGGTGCAGGGCCAAACAAGACTCTTGACTGCAAGAACAAATCCAGACCCTCTTGCAACATGATAGCTGCTTAGTGGGGTAGGAAGAGGCCCCTTGGGGGTCCTATCCTTAGGTCCTGATCTCAGCGCCATCCTAGTGCACTTGATTTCTTGCTGGCATTCAAGCCAAGGCATGAATGGACACAAAGCCTTTAATTCAAAGAGGCTGGTCCAAAGAGTTGGTGAAGAAGCCAGAGGAAGTTAATAGAGCAGTTACTGTGTTGCATCAGTTCAGGGAAGAAAAAGTGAGCCAGGTTCTCCAGCAGTTACCTAGGCTCCATCAGTAATGCCTCTTCGCTAGATGTTACAGCTACAGACTGCATAATGAGACTTTAATGGCTCTTCTAGGGTATTTGAAGAATGCATATATTCTCATATTTCCACTATTTGCCCAAAGCTAAAGGCTACAAAACTGAACATTTCTTTTTGCAGTTATTCTCACAGAAATCAATGAGAACGCATTGCAAAGGCAGCACTGCTTGACCAAGAGAAGCTAGGTGTCCTCTTACCTGTTGGAGAGCCTTGCTTAGACTGCAGTTCCATCTGGGCTCCATTGGTCCTTAATGACAGAGTCTTTGCCCCCTGCTGTTTCTCCAGCTCCCCTGCAAGACAGACGTATAGAAGTGAACGAGGAAAGGGATGGAGGGAAGGACAGCAGCATATTGTAGCAATAATATAAGTAGCAATATGGGAAGTCAGCAAGGAGAATTATGCAAGAAAATGACCAGAGAATGCCAAAAAGGGAGGGAGAGAGGAACAGCCAAGAAAAAAACAGAAACTGGAGAGGACTTGACATGTGGAGGAATTTATATATCTCCACATGACCTTCTATGTATGACCTGCATTTATACAGAATGGGTTATTGCTGCACAGAAGGGGACCACTGCTGCTGAGCTACTGGGTCATCGGTTTATACATGGAAAGGCCATCAAAGGCATCTAATGGCCTACATGGACATCTAATCTGTGTAAGACGGGTCACAGAGGAACACAGTGCAGACTGCTTGTCCCCTAGACATTACTGGAGTGACGGACAACTCTGCTAAGGCTACCACACCTGTCTTGTACTTCCCAGCTATCTACAGATCTTATTTGTATAGGCAAAAGAGCATAGGATGGAGAAGAGTGTTCTGGGTGTGACAGTTTAAGCTTCACTATTCCAGGCCACTGTATCATACACCCTGTTCCATAAGCATCGTAAGTACTTAAGTTCTTCCATTTCTCCTGCTGGTGGGTGGTCGCAGAGCCTGACTGCTTTTTCACCCTATAGGTGAACACAAGAACAATACTGTGCAAACTTGTGCTACTCATCCTCTTTCCCATTGTTCCTGAAGAACCTGTTTCTTTTACCCTTTCTCCCTTGTAGGCACATGCAGTGTGATGGCATGGGAGTGTAGAGGCCCTTACATTCAATTCGTATCTGCTCCAGCTCTGTCACTTCTGCTATTGACTCTTTCAGATCTTCCACAAACTTCTGCATTTCCTCAGCACCCAGAGCACAGAAGTGTAGTACCTGTTTCTTCTCTGACCCCGAAACTGGAGTCACCAGTGTGATGCCATGGGGGTAATCTGTAAAGAAGATGTGCCAACAAAATAAAGAGGCATTAGGCATTCTTGCTGGAGTAGCTGGCTGCTTTGGGACCTCTGCAAGACAGAGAGTTTTCAACATGAGTCCAAAGGAATGGCACACCTAGAGTTTGTCACACTGCAAACTGTGGGAACCTGCAGCATTGCAGCCCTGCAAGGGAACAGAATGGCCAAGCTGCAGCAGCAAGGCAAGTGCCACCAGGACCACAGTGCTGCCAAAACCAGAAAACACTAGCTCTTAGCTACACTTTGTACAACATTGGCCCTGGGAACCCGAGCACAGAGGTAGGACTGTAAAGCCCTTCTGAACTTGTGGAGGAGTAAACAAGAGGCCAACAACATTTTTTCTTCTGTGCGAGATGCAGCAAGAGAGGTTGGCTCCTGGAGTCAAAGCCAGAACAGCCACTTAACATCCACAGTGGTGGGACTTCTCCCCGGTCTGTACTTCCAACAGCAGAGAAAATGGCAGGGGCGTTAGCACAGCATGGGTGGGGAGCTCATTGTGCTGTGCAGAGAGAACGGTAAAGAGAAAGATGTGGGTTTATAGATCTCCACTTTGTACTCCCCAACAGGCAAAACACACAGGAATGTAAATGAAAGGGCATGCCCAGAGAGTGAAAATATCACAACAAAAGGCCTTGTGTTTTAAAGATCAGGGTGGGTGTAGGGAGGTGGTGGCTGGAGATTCAGCCAACAGAAGCAGGAGAATGAGAGTGTGCAGAGAACTTTCTACACTTGTGATTGGACTTTCTCTACCTTTTGCTCAATGGCCAGTGGTTTCAATCCTTTTCCTCCTTCCCTCTCATCTTCCTCTACGTTTAATTTCTTTCTTCCCCTGTCCTGCTTTCTCTTCCCCTCCACTGCTCCTGCATCTGCCTGCCTTCTCACCCTCTTCCTTTATCAATCTTTACCAAACAAATCAAAGGACCAACCTGCTATTGGCTGCCAGCCATCAGCTCCCCCTGTTTGTGTCCCAGGGCCCTTTTCCCACCCTGTGTCTGTCTCATCTGTTCAGATCACAAGCCCTTTAGCACATCTGCTTTTCTGTGTCTGCAGGGAATACACAATAGGATGCCTTTGCCAGAAGATCCTTGGGCACTCCCAGGATGGTTATGATACCCCTGAAAGCTGATCCCAGCTCTGATGGTGTCTCCTGGAGATGCTTAGTTATGAATGACTCTTTTATAAATACAGGGATGTGAAAGCCTCTGCATGCTGCAGAGGGTAGGGTGTTGAGAGTGACTCATGCTGCCAATAGGGTAGAGGAGGATGTAAAAAACTTAGTATAGCCACAGTGTTGCTACAGTCTTCTTTCCTTGCAGCATGTTCTGCAGGGGCTCACAATACCCTAGTGGGCATCAGACGTGCTTGCCTGGGACTGCTGTGCAGCCCCTCTGCCTGCGCCAGCAGGAAGCCTGCCTGTTTTTGGAACTCCTCCACCACACAACCAGCCTCCATCATGACACATCATGGCTCTATTCCCAGACCATCAAGGTCAGGCTGACTAGGGCTGGCCTCTCGCCATGCTTTGGTGGGTGCTGTTCCAAGGGCTCTGCTTCTGTCTTGGGAAGCTTTCAGAACATCACAGCACAGTGCAGGAGGCGGCAGCAGCACCTGAGCCTTTATCAATGTCAAAGGTAGAGGTGGGAGTTGTGACTTTGGGCATGAGGGGAGAGGGGCTAAAGTTGGCAGCAGCAGTTTTGTCAACGAGGTTCTCCACCAGCAGTTGGCTCCTGTGAGCTCAGTGAGATATATCTGGGGATTGATTCCCTCATTCCTCTCTACTAGTGCTCTCCCTGCCACCATGACAAGCCAGATCCTTCAATGAGCTTAAGTTCAGCCCTTCTGCAGGTGCTCAGACCTAGTGAGAGGTACCAGGAGCCTCTTCTCATCAGACTGTAGCTGCACAGTGATCTCCTCAGGACCAAGCCTCAGTTTTCTCACCTCCACTTTTAACCCCGATGGAATCTTTCTTCTGATGCGAACTCACACTGGGTGATACAGCTCCCTCCCTCCTCCTTTTCCCTGCCAAACCCCTTCAGGCAACCAAGCAGCAATGGACTTACATTCGTTCTCAAAGAGATGGAACTGCATCCCTAGCAGGCCAACTGACTTGCAAAATGTGTACGTTGAGGAGCTTTTCTTCTTGGGGCAAAGCTTGAGGATCTGTTAGAGGGAGAGAGGCATCATTGGGCAGGGTGCTGGGGAACAGTGAGACAAGAACAATGCAAACTGCTCAAAGCAAAAAAGCTTTTTGCAAGCTCTGTTAATTGTACATGGGAGTAACACTTGGTGACTGACAGGCATTTTGTCCAGAAAGCTGCCTGGCATGCTGCACTTGTAACAACACTTCTGAAATTCTGTATGCATAGCCCTGGGGCCCACTCTGCTCTGTGTCTCCCAGGGGTGCTGGCTTTTTGATGCCCACATTTCTGACTTTGCAAGGGTAATTCTCTTCACTGAGGGCCAGATCAAAAGGCAAAGGGAAGCCTGTCAGAAATACCTTAGAGCTGGGAACAAGAGCATATGTGAATGCTGTGCTGCCCTCACTCCCCCAGCACTAGTTCTTATAGATCTGATTTATCCCACGGAGTAGAGGGATAGCAAGGAGCAGAACCTCCCCCCAGGTTCACAACTGTACAAATGGGTGCAGAGGAACAGGTGGGGAAAGCTCTCATGTCCTCTGCTCCTACAAAAGGGTTTTGTTTTAGCCTTACATTTGCAACATCCACAGTTTCATTTTGCCATTAAATGCAGCAGAACTTCCATCTTGTTCGGCCTCCTCCCAGTCTCAGTGTACCTCTGCCTACCCTCTGAACTCAGTTGCAAGGTTGCTGGGGCAGGACACTTTTAAAAGTACTATGCACATTTGGGGCTCCAGTAAGTAATATCTACTCTCCTGCAGCCTTTGCAACGTTAGAAGGCAGTGGTTGCAAAGTGTCTGACAGGAAAGATTTAAAGTGCATGGGAGGGCTCTGTCTACTATAGTACAGACAGACAAAGAAATGAACCTCCCTTTCATGAAATGAACCTCCCTGCCGGCAAAGGCATGAGAGAGAGCAATGACATTGCTTGGATGGCTGTGGGATGTGACAGTTCGTTTTTTCAAGGGTTAGAGGAGTTTTAGATTTGGTAGGTTTTTTAACAGTGAAGGATCCAGAGCTGTGTCTTACAATGTTGATGGACCAGGAGATGGTCTGTCCTTAGGACATGGGGGAAATTGATGTTGTGGACTGGTTTTAGAATTCTTTATAGAAATCATGGCAGTGCCTAATTGCCAGAGCACACTCACCACCAGCAGGTCATTGAAGAGAAAAACTTCCCTCTGGTGAGCTGCCTGCTTCTGCACTTTGTTCACATCAGTCACTTCGTATAAGCGGCTGCAGCAGACCAGCCGGCGATGGGGCACGGACAGAACCTGCAGAAGACCCACAAGAGCATGCAGAGGCTGAGGGAGGCGCAACTGTGGATCTCCTCCACCCTCAGCCTGCACAACCTTGCCCAGTGACAGTAGCACAAGCCAATTCTGCCCACTCTATCCACGCAAATCATCTCCTCACCACCACTCCTCACTATCATTTTGCCTGCTGGTGCAACAGCAGAGAGAGATATGCCTTCGTCATCTGGATAAATCAGAGGAGTGGGACAGGCTAGAGGCAACCCTCTTGGTCACATGTCCTATCTTCACATACCTCTGGCTTCCAGTCACTGGGTGACTGCTCATCCTCTCTCACTCCACTGGACATCTGCAGGTTTCCTGGACTTTGAGAAATTATTCTGCTCATTTTGGGTAAAAAGCATGCATGATTTCGCATTACAGATTGATTACTGCTAAAGAAGCTGTCTCTGCGTTTGAGGGTCTCTTAACCCCAGCAATCCTTAGGAAACACATTAGAGATGGGTGAAATTGTTTTCTATCACTTTTCCTTCCACTTCCTACACCCTCAAAATGCCTTAAAGTTTGAGACACTGCAGAGCTATCACTGGAGTATTGGCAGGCAAGACCTGCATTGGCAGGCAGGACCTGCAATGAGATTCTTGGGCAAACAATTACTGCACCAGATACTGTAAACTCTGGCCAAGGAGATCCTCCAAAATTAGGAAAGAATGAGATAGCAAGGAAGAAAGTGTTTGGAGAAAAAGGAGTGAATTCATCAAGACAAGCAAGGAAAGTATTACAGAAGAGGGGTAGGGGCTTAGAGCAAAAAGACAGAAAAGAGGGCAGTGAGGGAAATAGGGGTGAGAGGGGTGAGTGGGTGCCAGAATGGTTATGGGTGCTTACCGTTTTCATTCCAACTATGGACTTCTCCACTTTGGTGACATAAGTCACATGATCCTCATTGGATTTTAGCTCTTTCTGCTGGATCCTCTCATAGATCCCCACCACCAGCTCCCTTGGGATGTCAGCACCGTCATCCACACCTGCCAAACAGAGAAAATGTTGGGCCGGCTAGGCAGGGAGAAAAGTAAAGGGAAGAACCGGTGGTCCCTGACAGGCAACTACTGTCTCTGCGTTGTGCAGTGCTGGGAAGGCTGAAAGGAAAGAGCAATACTTCTCTTCAGGCTGTCTTCTTTCTTGCTTTAACACATCTAATGCACTGGCGGGAGAGACTGACATCTCTAAGGCCAATGCAGAAAATTTCATTATTCCACTGCTCTGCATGGTGGCTCTTTTCCATGTGTTCCCTAAGGTTTTATAGCCACATTTTCACATTCATATATCTTGGGCCACTCAGCAGCAACCCCTGCATTGATTTCATATCATCAGAAGTGCTAGACGTAGAGGAGATCTATGATAGGATTCAGCTACTCCTCCTGCCAATGCAAGCATCAGCTCTCCTGTTTGCTTGGTGACCTCCACCATTTTCCTTCAGTGATGTCTACTAGCAGTTAGGAGAAATGTTCCTTCCCTGTTATTCTATCTGTGATATCTCTGTCTTGGCCCTGTCCCTTTCCTGTTTTATATCTCCTTAGATAAGTCTCCAAATTTTGCTGTCCGACCCTTGCAAAGCCTGGCAGAAAAGTTTTCCTTCACCCTTCCTTGATTCAAACACCACAAATTAAACTGCCAGTCCTACCTCTGAACTGAATTCCTTCAGTCACTGTACATGGACTTTCTCTGCTTTCCCTCCAGCTCCCTGGTCTGATATGTACTACCCTCACTGATGCAGGTGTGGAACTGCTGAGGAATGGAGAGGCATTGTCATCTCCTGGCTCCCTCATCCACATCCTTGCAAATGTAGCCTGGATACTGTCTTTTTTCAAACACAGACTGGTGAAGCTACTGACCTGGGCATTGACCTGCAGGTGAGTCTGAATGAACTGTGCCCCCTTATCTGTAATGGGGTGACATTCACTTGCTGCAGTGAGTTGTGGTGCGTTACACACTGGGGATGAGTGATCCTTACATTGGCTGAATTCATTGTGAGGCGAAGGGTCAGATTTTCAAGCAACTCTAAGTGTAAGTTAAGATAAAAAACCCTTTTGAGTTACTGCTACCAGCTGTAATACCAAAGGGGATGATGTCAGATATCAGCCCCATTCAGTATCTCAGGAAATAACTTGAAAGAGGGCCTCAGTGTCACATTATACCAGTCTGAAGTGGATGACAAATTGGGGAAGGTGTGGGAGGCTGAGATGACACTTTCTGAACAGCAGCCAGGACAAAGAAACAAGTCACAGGAACCTAGACAGGGATTTACACCAGAAAAACTTTGGGGGAACTTCATCTGAATTGCAGATCTGCAGTAAGAGACACTTGGAAGATGGCGGACCTAGGATGACCTAGGAGTGAACATGGCTCAGAAATTAGACAAGAATTTGTCTAGACATGATGTCAAAAAGGCCAAACAATACTAAGCTGCATTAGCAGATCTGAAAACAAGGAGGCGGCAGTAGCTCTATATAAGAATATGTTGTGACCACATCTGAAAAAGTGCTTTTAGCAACCTATTACCAAGATGGGAAGGGCTGACCTTGAAAAACAGAAGAAAATTGATTTGGGGAACTGACGCATCAGAAATTGAGAAGAGGTAATGTATGCATGAACTCTGTCAGGCCTACAGTTACTAGAAGTAATTGTAAGCAATTAAGAAGGGGAAGATTTAGCCTGAACAGAAGGAAAATGTGTTCATATATTCAAAGCAGCAAGGAGGGCCAGGGCTTGTTTAGCACAATCCAGCAGGGTCTAAGAAGGATGGATCTGAACAACAGGAAAATGTAATACAATGGACTGCTTCCAAGCAGTGAGATCTATTAAAAGATGAAACCATCTCTCAAGGAGAATGGTTGGTTTCTGAGAAGGCTGGACCGCTTTCTGCAGAAGACAAAGCTTAGATTTTCCCCTTCCCCAGCATTCTAGAAGACACCTTTGAGGCCCTCCATGTCTGGCTCACAGGGAGTAGCAGCAGCCCTGGAGAAAGGCAGCTCCTCTATGTGTTTACTGCTTTCACCTAGGCAGAATTTAGAGCGGCAAGAAGGCAAAAAAATCAAAGCAGTACCCTCACCTCTCAGATTGCGAATGAAGTCCTCCAGCATCATCTTCCTGTCAGGCTTGATGTTGGGGCTGTACATGTCCGTATTGAGGAGGATGATTGCAAAGGCCAAGATGAAGATGGTGTCCGGGTTGTGAAACTGCTGGACCACATCTGGGTTACACATGCAGTACCTCTGGCTGCAGCAGGAGGGATGCACACACTTAACATGGAACATGGAAGTTCTGTGCTCCAGGGTGGCAATGGCTTAATCACAAGTGGATCAAATTCCTCCTTTCACTCCACCTCTCACACAAACGAGAAGGAACTTACTGCTCTCTGAAGGCAAATTTACCCACCAATGGCTGAAGGAGGCCACTAAAACTTCAGCCTTCTTGTCTTAAGGAACCAAAAGGCAAGCGAGACTAGAGACAGCTACTCAGTTTAGTATCCCTATGTAAGGGTAATATAGGAGGTGTCTACTCCAGCCTGACTTGCTAAGGACAAAGCACTCCTCTGGATGTACCAAAGGAGCAACCCAGCACCCCTGCAAGCCCCAGTGCTGCTCTTCTTGTGAGTCACCAATGGAGAGGGAGTCCCTTGCTGGCAGACACGTCAGGACTGGCCTCACTCTGGCCCTTTGTGCCCTTCATGCCACTGAGTATCTGACAAGGACATGGCTCTGCTGCAGCAGTGGCACAGAGGACTCCGTGCTTCAAAAGCCCCTCCATGACCACCTTCTTTGGAAGGGAGGTCCCTGGTCATTCAATCCATGGCTGCTGCATGTTTTCTGCCTTGGGTGTGCTCTCTGCTTCCACTTGGTTGCAGCAGTGGGGCTGCAGGGTTCATTCTCTTACCTGAAAGCCTCAATTAGCCGCTCGACCTTCTGTGCCTCCCCTTGCACGCGGATGTGGGCCTGGAATTTCCGCAGGGCTTCGTCCAGCTCCATGCCCGAGAAGTCCATCTCATCCACCACGCAGCTGTGGGAGGGGGACACAGCCTTCATCAGCACCTCCTCCTGCGGAGGATGCCAGGCAGGCTCCTTCACTGTGGTACCAAGGCTCAGTCCCCAAGGGAAATACCATGGGAGAGGCCGAGACATCACTACAACTGCCCAGACCATACTTAAAATGGGCAGTAATTTCAGACAAGTGATTCCTGCATTCTACAGGTGAGTAATTCTTGTACCTAACCACATATGTGTGTGTGTGTGTGTGTGTGTGTGTGTATACAGCATGACATATATCTCATATCATACCATATACAGCATATATACAGCATTTCATGTGCATATATACAGCATTTCATGTACATATACAGAGAAAGTATAAATATATGTATTGATATTTATCTGTATCTACATAGATACAGATATCTAGACATCTATATTGACACAGATATTTAGACACCTATATCAATATCAATACAGATATCGATATAGATCCCTCTATTTCTGCCTTTCCTATGATCTGGTAATCATTCACACATTGTCCATTCCTCGCTCCCTCTCAGCACATGCACTTGTTCACTTCCTGCTTACCCATCCTTCTCTAGGAAATGGTACCTGTTGCGCAGAAATAACATTGCAACATCAGCTGGTCTGTAACATCAAGGCTGGGTAAAATCCTGCCCATGTAGTCAAACACCAGGACTCCCCAACGATTCATTCTGTCCAAACCCCTATTCATTTTATACATTTCTACCCATTCCACACAATCTTTTCCACTTCTACCATATTTCAGTACCAGGCTTCCCTGTTATCTGCTGGAAATCCTTCACCTCATACATCTGGTATTGCTTTCCCTTTTACAGTGATGCATTGCACACTGGTAATTCATAGCCAATTTAGATAGCCAAAGAAGGGGATGACACCTCTCTTGCTTCCCACTAAAATATTCTCTGTTAGTCTCCAAAACCTACTACTACAGTTCTTGCTGTTCGTATTAGTCAAATAATCTAGTTGTTCTTATTCTTACTGCATGATGTTTTGGTCATTTTTAATGACAACACCTTCCCCATGTGGCTTCAGCACATTTTGTTAGCATATTCCTACCTTTTATGTTCAGGTCATTACTGCAAGTATTAATCAGAAGACTAGTCTCAGAAAACTCTGCTCAAAACCTCCCTTAGGCCCAACTTCCCATTTCAGGAGAGCATGTAGGCACTAATGTCTGCATCAACCAATGCTCTCCCCTGTTTACGATTCCTCTCCTAATTTCTCTCTCTTCTACTCTCAACTAACAATTTATCATGTCAAATGCTTTGCTGAAGTCTAGAATTACCTTCTGCATGTCCCTTTTTTAGAAAACCATTTATTTTAACAAAGAAAGACATTGAATTAATCTACTCTCCACTGGCTTTGGTATGTACCATTTACCTTCCTGTCTGCCATTATTCTTTCCCATAAATAAATTCTCAAAGCTCACATTATATCTGACAGAACAAGAAATTCGCAGGTGCCAAAATCCCATTTTCCTTAAGCCTTCCTTAAGTACAAAGTTACTAATTTGCTGATCTTCACTCATATGGAACTACCTAGACATTACAAGTGTATTAAAAATTCAAGGACTTCATATTTTCTGCTTCTATATACCTTGGACACTAATTCTGTTCCCCCAACCCCCACCCTTTATCTCACCCTCTGTATTGTGTTTGGTTTGCTTTCTCATGTTGTAAAGGATAAACTGACCCAAAATTTAGGGTTAGGAGGAAATCTTCCCCAAGACAAGTTGTCTGTGACTGTATGAGGAGTGGTACAGGGAAAACAGAGGGGGAGAGGATTAGCTCTCATCTCGATCCTTCCATTTCCTAGGATTATCTGAAAATTTTACCAAACAAACCTCTGCTAATAAAGGGATGTGCTGTCATCAGTTTCTTCTTCTTCCTTTCTGTGATAAACTGGAGATGTGTCCATTGGTTTTTCTTATAGTGCTGCAGCTTGCTGTACGCAGTTGCGAAGTGTTTTGTGAGCTAGGCTGTTGAATGGCATGTGCAGCCTTGCTAGAACACAAATCTATTGCGTGATGTCTCAAATGGGTGGGGGACAGAGTTCAAACGCTCAGAGATGTCTCTCCATTCCTACATACCTCTATTGATTCAAGAGTTGACATATCATTGCTTAACTGGAGGGACACCCACAGAATAACTTACCAAAGGCATTGGCTGAACGTAGTGTTCAGTATCTTCTAAGGCTGGAGTCATTACAACCTCAACTAGGAAACATGGGGTCTTTCCCTGCACAGACTCCATATAATCAAAACGTAGGAACAGCTGGTGAGGAGCAAGGGCAGAGAATCAATGGGGCTGCTCTCATAGGAAATCTTACATGAAATCTTTTTTTCCTCTCCAAGAGGTGGACTGCAGAAACACTCACAAATCGTTTCTGGCAACAGCAAAATCTTCCTCCACTGCCTCTTTCCTTTGTTATTTTTATTTTTCTCATGCTTATACTCAGATGTCCCTTGGGTTGACATCAAGGCATTCTGCTTCTTGGAATTTATCTTTGACAGTAAGAAAAGTTTTTCTCCGGTTAGTCGTTATTGTGTTCACAGCTGCAACCACCTCTGCCGTTGGACCTTTGTTATTATTTTTTAATCCTTTCCAATGCGTGATGTTTCTCAGCAGTGACCCCAATAATTTTGCTGTTATTGTCTGCTTCCAGACGTGTGAAAGCAGAGTCCTTGCATACACCAATGAGACCTGCTGAGGTCACCCTAGTAACCTCAATCCACCAGCACTAAATCATGTATCTTTCGCTCCCTCCCTCATTGATCAATCCTTCCCCCTCCACACAGGCTGCACTAACATGTCCTCCCTTTTCTGTACAAATCTCAAATAATAAAGTCAATGCCCTTGACACAGAAAGCATAAAGCCTTTATTAGGACAAGTAGGACAAGGCAACTGTTTATAGCTCTTCTCAAACTCAAACAGGCATTGCTACATGAGTTATGCTTAGCTTCTCCTTTGAGAGTTTCTTTCACAGAGTGACAGATACAGAATTGCTTTGTAAATTCTCAGATGAACTCCTGGGAGTCCCTTCCATTTGTCTCTGAGCCCAAAGAAGGGCGCCCCCCACCTTGCTTCCTGAGAAAAGTTGACCAGGCAGAAAGGACAGGTTAGGAAGAAAGTCTGACTCAAGCAAAGTCAGCCTGAGCTTGCATTTGATTTATCTGACAAAGCTTGTGCCAAAGGTCTGAAGAATAGCTCCTAGAGGAGTCATGAGGTATGCTGCTACTTTCTGCTGCTAGACAGAGAGTAGAAAGAATGGTGGATCATAGTTGTCTGATATTTTCTGTAAGCAAATTTGACACAGCAAAGTCCATTCAAAGAGCCAAAGAGCCTTGTGCCATGGGGCTGCCATGTTCCCGCTCCTCTTCTTGGTGGCTACAAGTTTTGCTGCCTTGCCTGACCTCAGATTCCTGTACAGATTCCCACTAACTTTCTGAACGGACTGTGGTGCCTATGTCAGAGCTCTCCCAAAATGCAATGCAACTATTATTTGTGAAACCAGAGCAAGGAGGTCTTTTCTTTCCAAGGTACAGACCCTGGAAGTTGACGCAGGATATCTTGGCAAGACTTCCCTAGTCCTGCTCACGACTCTACTCCTGATACAGGCCAGAATGCTGTTGGCCTTCTTGGTCACCTGGGCACACTGCTGGCTCATATTCAATCAGCTGTCAACCAACACCCCCAGGTCCTTTTCTGCCGGGCAGCTTTCCAGCCACTCTTCCCCAAGCGTTGCATGGGGTTGGTGTGACCCAAGTGCAGGACCCGGCACTTGGCCTTGTTGAACTTCATACCATTGGCCTCAGCCCATCGATCCAGCCTGCCCGGATCCCTCTGTAGAGCCTTTCTACCCTCAGGCAGATCAACACTCCTGCCTTCCTTCCCACAGACTTGACACAAGCCATGTGAATTGAGCTCAGAGTGCAACCAGAGATGCATTTAGCTCAGTATCCACTGGGATAGGACTTTGGATGTTTGTATCATGTTGCTGAAGTGAGCAGGAAAAGTGCTGACACCCTGCCTTATAAGTTGGTGGAGTTTGAGGGCTCTTGTGCCACCTGTACACATGGGGAACTTGGTCCGTCCTGAGGCACTAAGCAGACAGGCACCTCACAACTGCAGAGAATTGCATGCCAGGTGCCAGGTGATGGGACCAAAGGGTGGGCTCCTAGTTGGATCATTTTGCTT